TGTCGACCGTGTTTTTAGGAGCGTTTATAATTTTATTTGTCTGTTATGATTGCATATTCTCTAAATGAGCCGATTATTCGAGCCTTGTAGCTCGTTTTTTATAGTCACGAATTGTCAAGGTTATGCGAGGCTCGAATAATCGTATCCCCTCTTCCCAAATTGTCCATATTTTTGTGGACAATCTGTGCGTCACTTAGAGAGACACACACACACACACATTACTATAGTCCCAAGCTCAAAAGTGTCAAGGTTATAAAAAGTATTTTATAAAATCGATTGATAATTAATTATTGAAGTTGTATAATATCAATTGCTTTTTCAACATTTCTACGTTTGTGAATATATATCAATATATAATTATATATATTAATATTAATATTAGTAATATTATTTAATAATAATATAATAATATTATATTATTATTTAAATTAATATTATTATTAATATAATATTATTAATATTAATAATAAATAATATATATTAATATATTATATAATTATATATTAATATATATTCTAATTAATATATATATATATATATATATATATATATATATATATATTAATATATTAATAAAATTTGGAAATTATAACAGATTGGAAGAAAAATAATTTTCCAACCTGAGTAAATAATTCCGTCGCTATTAACGACCCGGGAGTCCGATCATTCGGTTAAAAAAAAGAGAAATAACGCGGAGAATCGCAAGGCCCCGTCGCCGAAAATTCTTCGCGACGATAAAGGGTTCCGACCCCTAAGACCCAGCCCTGTGCTCGCAGGCCGCGCGATTCGAGAGCGAGATTTCGGGCAAGAAGCCGGAAGGCGGCGATGAAATCGATTAAAGCTTGGCGACCGGTTCACGTGCACCTTTCCTAGGCAAACTTTGAACCGAGTTTACCGGGGCTATATCGCCGGCCGACTGGTTGGGTTACGACTGACGGGATATAAATAGGCGGCGTCAGTCGGCCGAATCCAGGAAAAGTTCCCGGTGGCCGGCCCCGACTCGCCGCGGATGAGGACTGCGGAGCTTGTTCTCACCTGCTCGACCCGCCGTTCTCCATATTTCAACCCCCCCGGAACCACCGGTCGTGTCGAAAGAAAATTGCGGTTCCGCGTCCCCGAACTCGGCGATCGAAAAAGTGGGGATTGAAGGAGAATTTCGACGAGTGGGATATGTTAACAACGAACATCGCCGCGAAAGGGCGATGTGTACAGGGACGCGTATAAATATAAATGTAAAATAATATATAATATATAAATGTATATAATAAATAATATATAATAATAATAATAATATAATATATAAATATAATAATAATATATAAAAAATAATATATAACGTATATAATATAAATGTAAATAAAAATGTCTCGCAATCCGAAAGTGGCGGGTTCCTCGGGTCGTTTGAAGCAACTTTTTCCTTTACAAAAATGTTCTCCGAGGCACCGTTAACGAGTTATCAACGAAAAACGGTGGCCAATGAGAGGCGAGCCCAGCTGGCGCCGGTTGACTGGGCCGCCTCGCGTCAGCCGTACTCGATTCTTATTGGCCAACATTCTTGGGACACCCTGTATAGTCGTTCCCGGCGAAGTAAAGAACTCCGGGGTCGAGTGATCACGCCCCTGTCGGCACGTGGTCTGCTAACGCTTCCGGTATATAAGAAAACGCTCGTAAGAATTACACGTGGTTCTGGTACGTCGCCTGACGATTTTATCGCCCCGCCTATGTGCCCGCCGGCTATTTACATGCATTCTCAAAATACGCGTCCATTATCCGATCGCCGGGCCTTCCGTTGCACGGAAGGAAGTTCTCTCTTAAATCAAAATCAACGTCGATCGATATCGTGTCTCGTCGTGATCTCGAAACCTCGCTTTAAAAAGGCTTTTATTTGGAAAAATATTACATCGGAAAAATAAATATATATAAATAACATATATAGAAGTGTATAGAGTATATAGAAAATATATAGCAAGAAAACGCTACTATTCAGCGTCTAATGCAACGTAAGAATGCATAAATTCTTATTCTAATCCAATATATATAATTCTATAGTAACTCTATTCTAATTCTAATTCTAATTCTTCGTTGAGTTACGATATTCTGGCCTTCTCCGAAATTCCAAGCGTCGATATCTAATTATTTCAAACAAAAAGAAATTATAATATATTTATTACCCCGTTCCGTTGGATCTTTCGGTAACTTAATTCAGCGAGAAGAACGCGCGATCAATGTCCAACGGAGTTGGATGACCACGCCAATGCCTTTCCATCCTTGATCGTTGCATCGCATCGGGAATTTATGTTTCATTGCTCGAATTCCAACGCGTTACCAAACACACGCTTGGTAGTTTGTTTCGTCGCGTCGCGTCGTGTCGCGTCGGTTCCCTCGCGAAGAGATGAACGCGAAACGTCCGGAAGAGGAATGTCGACGCGCGTACGCGCCGAATTTTTCGGTCGCGCGCGCGCGCGCCGTTGGACGACGCACTTCAGGCGCAACCGAGAGTGCTCACCGTTTTCGCGCCGGCTATGAAGGAACGTCTTTGTTCGGCCGGGAAAGAAGAGTTCCCATTGCAACGGCACCGATCGACCGTGGTCGCGCGACGATCGATTCGATATTAATGGCTTGCTCTCGACGCGGCCGCGTCGCGCGGTTCCGAACGCGTTTCGCCTCCCGATCGGGGACCCACCGAAATTAGAACGGGACTCGAACAGCGTCGAATCGATAGCTTCCGCATTTAGCAATGCGTTTACATCGAAATTGAACGACTCGCGACGGTTGGATCGAACGCGCGAGCGATCGACTGCCTCGCGGTCTTCCGCGAGAATAATCGCATCGGTGCAACAATTAATTCTGAAATTTTGGTCCCAAAATCGTCGTAGAACCAGCTTACCCACGCGATAGTACAAACGACAGCCCTTTCGAGAACGTTGGCCTAAGTTTCGAGCATCGAAAACTCGAGCTCCTATTTTGAGGTTATTCGAGGACTCGTTTGGCACGTTGACGAACCGATCCGGATCTATTTCGAACGAATCATTCATGGGAACTTTATGGAATAATATCGAGGTGAGCCCGGCTTCGACTATCGATTCGGCGAGCACGGGCAACGTTGGCCGCCGTTGGGCCTGTTATCATCGAATCGGACTCGAAGCGTGTCGAAGAGACTTGTGAAAACAATGAAGCGCGGGGAAACTCGATGGCCGGACACAGTCTAAACCCTCTTCCCAAGCGATACTACGCGAACACGCATGCAATATGCATAAGCCGTGCCAGTTCGCGAGCGGTAGCATGCATACCTGGATAATATAATCGTCCGGGGGATCGACGGGTAAATAGAATCGTTTTTCTCTTTTTTTTTTATACCGCCGTGTAATTCCCGTAACGGTCCTATCGCCAACCACGTTTCCGAAACGACGACGACGACGACAGGCCAAATAATAGGTTACGCGAGAGGGCAGAATGCGGCCTTGATGCTCTGGGCCAGCGATCGGTGGAATCACTCTACTACTCTCCTCCGTCCGTTTGTATAATACCAAGACCCTTTCCGGTTAAGAGGAACACGCTGGAAGCGCCTTCCGTTTCCCGGAAGCGGCCGTCGAGATTAACGTTCCCGAGTGAAACGTGAATCGAGTGCCCGTCGCGAATCAATGAAACCGCGCCGCTGTCGTTTAATGGGGCCCCACACACTCGCGTCACGGTTTATCGTGCGACAAGTTGTACAACCGCCGTTTGATAACGCTTTGTTTTGCGACCGCGATCGCGACGTGTGTCCGCGGCAAACGAGAATTCGGACTCGATCGGCAAATTATGCGATTATAAAAATATATGAATAAATAATGAAATATAAAATAATAAATAAAAAATATAAATAATAAATAACGTATAATATATAATATATAATAACAATTCAAGGCCACATATTTGCAGAGAATTCTTTCTACTCGTCATTGATTATCTCGACTTCTCTGTTTCGTAAATTCGATATAACATTAACATCGAACATTCTCTGCAAATATGAATAGCCTTGAATTGTGTATATCCGAACATATTTTAATAATTACATAATATATATCTAACAATAAAGGCATTATGTTAATGTAATAATTCTCTTCCCTCCGATCAGAATAGCTCTACGAACATCATTGTGTTTCCAATTTGTATCACATAACAAATTATATATAGCGTGAGGTTAGATTTAAATTTGGTTATGGACATAAAATGAGGTTAGATTTAAATATTCTCTACGTCGCATTTCGTATAATAAATAAACGTCTCTTCGTTGCAATTTATCCGAAATGTTTTGCTTTCTCCTTATCAATCATCCCGTACCAACCATAACGATATGAAATCGCGCCTAAGTTTCGAAGAATCGAAACTGAATACCGATTTCGTAGAACGCATCCGGTGTCGGATAGTCGAAAAACGAGGCGCGGTAACTTCGATTCGTGGGATACTGATATTTTTCTCAATATAAATAATGGCGTTTAAACATTCAAAAATCACCACTTTTCATCACGGTAAAGTGATTTATGCCACTTTCAAAATAAACGGCTCAAATATCACACGCAGAGTACCAGTTATATTTTCCTTCATGTTTTGTTCTTCAAGTTTCAAAAAGTCAACCATTTTGAAACCGCCGAGTTCTCGAAAAAACACAGTTAAAGTGACCTAACATCTATCATCGAAATTCTGTATACGAAAACTAACGACCGCGTGCAGAAAAACTTGTGTACGTATTAGAACAATTCGAACTTTTATTATACCACGTCGCGAAAAGTTTCAACCTAACTCACTCGTGGGAACGTGCTGTAAAAGTCGCTGTCGCAACATCGGTACACAATGCTATCGCGTCGCATTTTGTACGCGTGATTACGTCTCGTTGGTAACCCGGTAAATGACCAAGTAAATCATCGGACGTTGGTATCGTTTCGTTGGTCTAATCGCCGACGATTATTCGACGGAAACACAAAACACAGTCGTGCAATATTCAGGAGACATCGACTCACCTTCGGCCAAACTTCACGCACTCGCCGAACTCATATTCCCCGGGAAGTATTTCGCAGACACCGGGTACGTGCGCACAGTTTCCGGGTCAAGTTCGTTCCTCGTTGAACGATTTGTCGATCCTTTTCCATGCACCGGAGAGATTGCAGGAGCTGTCACATTTTGATCGTGCCCGCGTTTTTCACTCGACGACACGACACAATGCACAACGTGTAGAAGAGCGCGTGATTATCGCGCGTCGACACTCCCGCGCTTCACGACGCGCGAACTCCGAATGATCGCGAGCACGAGATACGCCGGCCCCCATGCCGACTGTGTACACAACCCGCGGCGACCAATCGCCGGCCAGCAGCTGCCCCGCGGCCCAATCGGATCGTCGCGCCACCGCTTGTCGTCCAATCGTACCCATAACCTTAGGTTACCGAACGTAGGTTACCAAGAGATCGTTGTATCGATCGGCACGAAGTGGGGTATTTAAACCGGTAACGCGGGAACGAATATTTTTCGAAATGTTATCCGACACGAGTATCCTCCGCTGATTAATTCAGTATCTGTGAAAAATATTCGCTACCAAGCTACTTTGGTAAAAAGGTTTTTCTACCCGATTTGTACGATGTTTTCCGTTGCCAGAAACCGTTTCCCTAAAAAATGAGATATTATTAAAAATAAATAACAGGCACATGTCAAATGAGAATGTAATTACTAAATATCATTTCTCTGAAGTAATGTAAACTCGTAGAAAATATAACACATGGAATCTTAAAGATTCAATATTTGCACCAGAAAGAAAATATTTGTACTAGAATAATCATTGTTGAATTAATCCGATTTATATTTAAATATATTCATGTTCGGGGAGAAATCGTCGAGCTAACAGATCGAGGTGCATCGATCGATTACAGTCGAAAGTATTTAACGGGTACACTGACTCGTTTAATTATAGATTAATCACGGGGATCACGAGGCCCGGAAAAAACGAATTGGACTAGGAAGGAAGACGGGTTGTTCCGCAGCCTTCGGTAGATATATATGATAAACGTAATGGAGATACATATATAAGGTGGCGCGGTGGCATGCACTCCGTGGTAGAATTATGGTGCAAGCTGTAGGCCGCGCGTTCGATGTGCTCGTGCTGACTGCACTCCTGACGCTGCTGTTCGTCGATCAAGTAAGGACGACGACGAGGAACACGGCTTCTCGAATGATGCAGCCGTCGTGTGTACCGCTGCAGCATGCTATAGCCCCGTAGAATGTTAGCGCATATCTCGTGTACCAGTGTCTCCTTGTTCTATTCTGCTCGGCCCGTGGCCGATCAATACGTCGGTTTTACGCACGGTTCGCCCGTGTCTAGACAATGAACCCTTGTCCGCTGTATTTCTCGTTCATGCGTAAGTCTACCACTTATTCTCACGATAAGCTCGTCGCGGTCTCGTTTTATTCACGCCCGAGCTAGCTTTGTGCGCGACTAAATTCTCGTCCTCCTCCTCCGTGCATCCCCGTGCATCCGTTACCGTGCAACGAAAACAATCCTTGTCGACGTCGGATGCTCCTCAATGGGACGCGGCAGCATCTTCGGGTTTTTGTTCACAGCGAGTACCGTGGTATCTCTGAATTTGTACATCCCGTCCCTCGATTCGATCCTCCTATGGAAAATAATAACGTTCAATTGCAATTGCATGCAAAATGTATCCGCTTCGTTTTCATAGACCACGTTCGAGATTTACTGTAATTTGTCATCTGCTCCCCATGTTAATTGTGTGTTTCGTCTTTGATTCGAAGGTCTCCTCTAGGCTGTGCAATGGGGGGCATGTGTAAGTTCCTCGCTTATTGTACCACCGAACTGGTAGTTTTGCTACGGCGGAAGTATATTAACGATCCTTGTATTCATACTTTTCAGCTGCTCTCCTCCAAAAGAGTGCTGTTCCTTCGGCTGTTGTTACGGTGTATTCCAACTGCACTCTGCCTCAGACATGTTCAATTTCTTGATTTGGACTTACTGGTACTTATGGTCGGTGCTTCAGGTTTATGTGTTCACAACGTATCGTGTTAGCTGTATTAAACGCAAGCTTTCTCGCTCATCAGGGCAGCAGTATTTATAGGATTGGCTATAGCAGCAGCATGCGGTTGCTGGCTATGGAGACGCCATCGTTCAGTCATGGTGGAAGACTGTGCTTCTTCTGACAGAGCTTCCACCGGTCCTTGGTATCCATCCCCGCATTACAGTCACTGCAGTTCCTTCGTTCAAGCTCTACCTCCTCCGTACAATGAGGTACGCTCCATGGGTCTGCACATTTTCATAACATTTTGCATGCTAATACACTCGATGTTTCAGGTTACAGCTAAGCCGGATCTGTATCCCTTGGTCATCGGTTACGACGAAGGGAATGGCAAAGGAACTTCAGGATTTGTAATGCGGTACTTCAGGTCGCTCTCTCAGGCCAGCACATTGGATTCCTTGAGCTCCAGTTTTATGTGCAACATGGTGAACGAAGTGAACACCATAATTCCACCACCATATTCTTGTAACAACAGCGCCGACGAGCTCTCTGCGCAGGAATGCGAGAGGATGGAGAATATAGACGTCGGGTCTGTTGTTTCGTTGGCTAATCATAGGACAACGTCTGACATATCGAGTTTAGCTGCTCAATCTCCGTGTTCACCGCCACGGGCTACTAGTCCAACGATAGAGGTACCGATCTCTTGATAATTACATATTTAATATATAATATTTAATATTTAATTTAATATAATATTTAATTTAATATTTAATATTACATATTTATCTGAATATCCTCTAATGCGCTGTTCCGTTTGGTAGTTACGCGAACTTCTAGATAAAATTCAGCAGCTGCCACAGCTACCAAGTGGGCATAGCACCGTTTTGCCTTGTTATCAGAATCGACCGCAAGTTTTGTGCACGACGAACGGGAATGGCTCTACGCAACGGCCTCTGAGTCCTGGCGACGTGATCGGCTCGCACCGGGACAGAAGAACAAGGGGAAAGATGTACATGCCGCTAGGACTTCCAAGCTCAAGGAACAAAACGAAACGATGGCTGTCGCGCTCGGCGCCTACCACGCCATCGGGCACGATACCGATGTCGTTCCTATCCGTACAAAGCAGGCGGCCATCTGAAACGGACAACAATAATCAGCAAGTGGTGCCGCTGCTCTCCGAACAGGACGAGACGGAGAACAACAACATAGACCAGCTGAACGGCATCCCGTTGTTGTCCGAGCAGGAGGAAGACCCGCAAGAAACATGACAAATCGTCTAAGCGTATCAAGAAACGATTAATTAATCTATTAAGGATTCGACGTCAGATGTCGCCCCCCACCCCCTACCGAGTAATCTGTATATTTTTAAACGTGGCTGGCCAACTCCTCGTCGCAGTTCCAAGCGAATGGGCGCATAATGTTCGGCAACCTTAATTTCGTCCAACGAAAAACAGACACCGCCTACCGCTCCTAGAAAAGAAAAAAAAATCTAAAGAAAAAACCAAGATAAAAGAGAAACGACTCGATGCTGTGATTTCAGTTATATCCGCGCGAGCGCGCGTCTACAGCCACCGCCATTAGTACACGTTCTATTTTCTAGCGAGTCTCTCTCTTCGCGATATCGAACCGGGTAGCGATAATAATCGATAAACGGCGTACTCTTCTTAAGCTCTGTGGTTATAGCTTGCAGTTTAACCTTAACATGACAAACACCTTCTCCCAGAAGACATGTAACTTTTATGAAGCGTTACCGACGATGTAGATCTTTACGTAGTCGAACTTCGAGCCCGGCTTGTTCTCGATCTCGATCGAACCGTGCATTTGATACATCGAATTTAATTTTCGCGCGTAACTGTTAATCGAAACGTATATCGCCACGCCTTATCGACCGTGCCATGGCGCGAAACACTTGTTCAAATTCTCATCTAAAACCACTGTGTGTATACAAAATGTTTTTTAGTTTGTTTTTTTTTCATTAGTGCACTCGAGACACGTTTCAATCCACTGTACAAGCAAATGAGAAATTGCTCGATCCAAGAGGATACGTTCAAAGTTGTTCGATGGACAACGCGCGTCTTCAGTCTCGTAAATTACGAGTCGTAATACACGGCCTGGAATAAAGCATTTCGGCCTAGTGCACACCTTAGTCCTTAGATTCACGTCTCTTCGAATGAGAATAATTCGTTTCTGTAAAACTACGTAATTACCTGATAAATATTTTAGATTCTGTGATTAGAGAATGCATACTTCGTGTAATGGCGGCATTGTTCGCTGCAACGCGTCAAGTGTCGATAAGGCGATAAGTTAAGGAGTGAAAATACCTTAGTTATCGCATCGATGAGTTTTAATCGTACACAATAATACAGTGTCCATCCAAAAGCAGCCAGCCAGAATGAAGTTGAGGACAATATGTACGCGTAAGAGGGAGAGAAAGAGAGAGAGAGAAAGAGAGAGAGAGCGAGCGAGTGTGTGAATGGAACAGCGACACACTAAAAAGATAAAAAAAAGAAAAAGAGAGAAACGAGGAGAACGAAAAAAATAAGATGTAATTGTTTCTCGACGTGTTAAACGTACAATATCAATTCCGTCGAGCGAGGATAGGAAAGCAAAAATTTCATTGTAAACCGGAGACTTATCGTGAGCACAACGATTACAACGTCGTTCTAAGTAATTTTAATCGCGAAACAACGCGAAGTATTGATAAACTGTGCGAAGAGAATCGATACAGATCCCCCATTCATAATCATATAAGGTTTGAACAAAAGAACATTTGTTACAACCGATGATCACAGACTTTATTCTTAAAAACAACGAGATAACTTCGTCACTCCAGAGAGAAAAAAAAATACTGTACCGCGTCATTCACGTACACACCATGTATTAACGTGTATTTTTTTATAAATCAAAATACGAAATAAAAAGTCCAAGCTTTTACGAAATCATTGCACCTGTTACTCTGTAAACCTGTCGTTGCGAATGGAGCCAACGACCGCGTTATCAATAAAGATGTTGGACATATCTTTTTATGTCTCACGCACAATTTCCCTTTGCGTTTTTCCTTTTCAGACGATTGGAAACGGCGGCAACCTTCTCGATTCGATGTGCAACGAACGCTGCGCCGGATCCACGAACGATAATCCAAAGCGCGCGAAAGAATCGAGAATCGATATTTCGAAAAGCTAAAAGCGCCACTCATGTTCACGTCTCGCGTCTGAAACGATTTAAAATGCATCTTCTCTGCGTACAAGCTCGGTAACGTGTAATTCCAAGGTTTCTAACAGGGATCAACAATGTCTGTAAGTATCAAACGTAAATTCTTCTATTGGAACGCCGTTGATCGAAAGCGAATCGAATCGTCTGATCGGTACCTTTCTTTTTACAGGCGCCGAAACAGGTAAAGGCTTGTTATGGTGACTGCATAACCTCCAAATTTATGTTTCATTCTACTTTATTTTTTGTAGCAACAAAATGCCCACGGAGAGCCCAAAGAGCGAAAGAAAAAGGAGAGCATTCTCGATCTATCCAAATACTTAGAAAAGAATATTAGAGTGAAATTTGCGGGAGGAAGGGAAGCCGCTGGTATACTCAAAGGTTATGATCCTCTTCTTAATCTGGTCTTGGATAACACCACCGAATATCTAAGAGGTAATGTAACAGAACGCGTAACTTTTTGTAACACAGGATGAAGCATCCGATACAGGTCTTTCATAATAAACAACTATATATTTTTACTGAAACATTTCTGCCGGCAGATCCTGATGATCCCTACAAGCTGAATCAAGATACTCGCATGCTTGGTCTGGTCGTATGCAGAGGTACCTCTGTAGTTCTGATCTGTCCGGTGGATGGTATGGAGTCGATTCAAAACCCTTTCATACAGCAGGAAGGATAATCCTATTCGCCTCGAAAGTTTGTTAATCGTTAAGCTTAAGAAGAACTTTTTTATAACAGAAATGGGCGTAATTTATTTTACAAGTGAACTGTGTAAGTAAAAACTTCTATGGTAAATACATTGATATGATTTTCTTAAAAGATACACGTGCGGGTCTTCCACAAATAAATAATTCCATTCTCTCCTGTTTCGCGCGTAATTTGAGCATGGCATGGCGACGGTCACGTATGCTCGTTCACTCCAGACCAAACTCGTTCCTTAACCACGGATACTCTTTGGGACATTCGAAGCAGGTGTGCAGGTAGCGGTACGACTTGAGCACTCTGCTCGGCAATTTACAACTGCTCGGCAAATCGCAGGCGATCTCGAACGGCTGGAGTTGACGCGGGCCGCACTGCCAAGGAGCGAACCTCTCAATTTCGATTAGCGGCGTTGGGCTGCGCATCCACTCTATCACTTGATGGCTTGTGACGAAATACACGTCCTTCAGCTTCAGTACGTCGTCCACGAATTTCTGAAAATATAACAGCAAACGATGAGAAACCGAGAATTCAAGCTGAGAAAAACAAGCTACTTACCGTGAACGTGTAGAAGTAGATAGGATTTTGGAACCAGGACGAGTGGAGATGCAGGCCCAGCGGGGCACGGTTGCTAAGATAATGCCTCTTGAAGTTCAGCATCAGCGACTTGTACGCGTCTTCCGCGGACAACTCCGCCGAGCATGTGTCCAGTCTTGTGCAACTGTATCCCTAGCGCCGCAGTAAACAATCGTCTGTATTTCATTGTTATTGCGTCGCGATGCTTGGCTATCCACGATATACCGAGATAATGTAAACAAGATTGTTAGGAAATGCTTGGTCATCGCTACCTACACCTGCCAAAAGCTGATTTAGCGGAAGCTCCCAGAGACCTGGATACGCTCGGGTAGGACAGAGCTGCTCGGCGCCCACACAATTGTGAGGCGGTCTGTAATCCAGCGTGTACGGCCAAAACGGTGGATCGGAGAAAGGAGCTAACATGGACGAGTCGTAGACGAAACCGAATTCGGACATCATTAGAAATTGTCGGTTCCAACCGACGCGCAGGAACGGGGCTCTCAGACCTGCAAAACAGAAGTTTCCTCTTCGACTCTGAACTCTGTTCCTTGAACCCTTCGGGTAGCCATCTTTATGTATCGCGCCTTGATAGGGCAACCCGGCGAACACCGGTATATTTTTCTACTCGTCGCCGGTGTACACGGGAAAATCGAGCAACAGGCAAGACGTAAAAACGCGCAATAATCATGGCAAGAGTAACAAGTAAGAAACTGAGTTGAGAAGCTTGCATACCTTTGATGTCTTTCAGCCTAACCGCAGCGTATTTGTTAATGATGTTCGCTAGGCCAACCATTTCGTCGAACCAATCCTCTATAGTCGCATTCCTGGACCACCATTCCTCTGGACCTCGATGCCTGCGGAATCGAAACGTAAGGATCATCGATGGGACCGTCTTATCAGGAGCACCAGAAGTATTCTTACGTGACAGAGTGTGCAGCAATCTCGTGCCCAACGTTCCACAAATACTGCACGTCCCTGTAATTGGTGTACTGATGGCTGATGTAGAAAGTTCCCCGGATAGGACATCCATTCGGATTCTTTCTGTCCGCCGAAAATATCTCTGCGAGTAATATACCGGCCATCAGATAAGAGACAAACTTTCTCCGAGCGCGGTCGCGACCACGGGGACGGCTGAATTTCGCATAATTAAAGAAATTTACTGGTCCGACCAGCGGTCGTCCAGATTCTTATCCGGCGAGAAATTCGGCCGCCTCTGGTAAAACCTTGCTTACTGGAATACAGCTCGAAGTTCTCCGCGTTGACCGCGTCGTCGAAGGAGACCGTTATCATCTGCGGGATCGTCGATGCTGTCAGGTTGCCCGGCACCTGGGTACCGTCTTCGGAACACCAGCAGTCCGGCAGCTGGCATTTCTTTGGATCGCAGGGTGTCGCCCCGTTGGGATCGTTCCGGACATCTGTAAACGTTCAGCGATCGAAACGGAAGAGAACGCGGTTTTGGTCCCGAAGACGTGCTTGAACGCGGGCAAATTCCTCACCACACCAGCCTTCGTCCGAGCCATCGGGACAATCGACGCTTCCATCGCAGAAGTACGCAGCGGGGAAACAAGTGCCGTCTCCGCAGGCGTAGTGTTTGTCCTCGCAGTCGCCGTTCTGCAGGAGCGGTCTGGGTGGCTGAGTCTCTGCAGAGCTTGAGAATGTTCGAATCACCATTCGACGTAAATGAGCAAGGAGAGGAGGGAGCTGTTACGTTAGAGGTAGTGCTTTTCAGAATTGACTAACAATGATGTGGACTTTTGGGATTATAAATAAGATTTTGACGTTGTCAGCTTTATCAGAGACCTGGGTAGAAGAAGAAGGCCGGAGGAATGTAGGAAGAACGTAGGAAGGTGCGGCATGCGTTACAAGATAAACTGAAAGGAGCAGGTATAGAAATGTTAACAGAGGAGCATCGGAAAGGGCGGCAAGAGTCGTGGCAACAAAATCTACAGCCAGCATGAAAAGTACACAAGCATGAAAAGCGATGCCAATATGTAACAGACGCGGGAACAAAAGGCTGTTATAGAAACTAGAAAACACAGAGGAGCATTGTGGAGACTTTAATGCTAGAACCGGAAGTGAGAAGATATATCATAGAACGGCGAGGAGTAGTAAGAACAAAGGAACTTCAATGGTTCTCGTGTAAACGCCCAAGATAAACATCTCTACCGAGACTGCTAGAGAAAATGGGCCCGAGACTCTTCAACCCCTTATCGTACCATTTCTATCGCAATTATCGTGTGCCTGTGTTTACTCGAACGTTGAAATATCGACGACAAGAGATCGTAATTTGAATCCAACTCGAGAAAACGAGAATAAAATTCACACTCAAACGAGCAAAATTATTTGCAGCTTTTGCTGTACCTGAGGTGACGTCGCAGTTGTCCACGTTCGCTTTGAAGTCGCAGATCTGCCTGGCGACGTCGAAGAGCAGTCCCTGGGAACACCTGAACTCGAACACCTCCTTGTCTGCGGATCAGAGAGCAGCGAGCTAATTAAAAGCGCGAGGAGAGGAGGAGCCGATCGCGATGAAAGTGGAGCGAGCGATTACGAGGCAATTACCTAAGCAAAGATAATACTTGGCGCACTCGGCTGGCGACCAAACGTCGCGGGCCGGGGCGTTCGGGTTCCGATAGAACTTCTGGTCGTCGATACACGGCGTCCCCTCCGGCTTCTCTTTGCCCCGAGCTGCGCCCGCTGAAATATACAAAACCGAAATCGATCCACGTGCCTCTCTAGCCAGGGCCTAGCGCTATCTTCGTCTCCGCCGAACGAGACGAAACGGACCGCGAGGTCCGCATTCTTTCAACGTTTTCCGGAAACGAGTTCCACGAGTACGAACGCGTCCGCGTTGTTACGATAATTTCAATACATTGTACAGCTTGATATCGCCGACCTAACGGAGAGAACAACAAGCGAATCAACGGAAAGAGAACGAGATGGACGCGTGAAAAATCGTTCGACTCGGGACTGGCTCGCGGACGTCTCAGCGAGAACTTTCACGAGGATCCCTTTCGCACTCGAGAGAAATCTATTTGCCCCGTTTTCACTGGGTGGCAAAAAAACAAGAAAACAGGAGCGACGTTTCCGTCGCGCGACACCGTCGAGGAAGCGCCGTACGATCTTCTTCACGCTGCACGACTTCCGGTTCTCCGCGCACCCGAAAACACTGTATCCCGACATTTTTACACTTTCTTCTTCTTCTTCTTTTTCTGCTCGAGAGTTCGAATCTCGGGCGACCGATCCGATTCTATGTATCGGAATTTTCACAACGCGCGGAGGACTCACCGGAAACGGCGAGCGCGACGAGGAGCAGCGAGCGCAGCATCGGTCCCATGTTCGATCGAATGGCCGAGCGAAACGGTCCGCTTCTCGTTCCTCGTACGAGAGCTCGCACTTTCCAACTGACACCTCCCTCCAGGACCGAGCCTTATATGATGTGTATTCGCTTTGCCTGACTATCTTCCGCGCTGCTTATTTTCACTGACCGCCCGATCGGGGAAATGTAGATCGCGGCGCGCCGTTCATCGAAACGAGCTAACTCTGAGCTATCGACGGCAATCGGCGATCGTCGCAGGAATTTTTCGCTGCTCTTATCATTCGCTGTAGCGTCGGTATCGTGTTGCCAGTGCCTCGGGAAAAATTAATCGCTGGTATTTTTACTTTCTCCGACACGATTCTCCAATTCCTCGTACGCCTGGAATTAAGCGGACATCGAACGCCGAAACATTTTCGACGAACTCCCGGATGGTTTCGCGGTTCGTCCGCGCGGAAGGGTTGGCTTCCGCTCGCGGCTAATCAGCGGAAAGCCTCCGGGCGAACGGGGTGGCCCCGCGATCACCGCGTGGATAATTACGATATGTAACACGTAACCGGAAGTGGGGGGGGGGGAGGTTCGTTAACGTCGTAACATTCCGCAGCCGGCTGTTCGGTAACCCACCTGTCCCGCTTCGCCGAGGAAAGTTTTCCGCGTGACGCGTCGCTGCCAGCGGGGGCAGCGGGCAGGACACGCGCTCTTGTCTTTCATTTTCGCGTGGAAATCGCTCGCGAGACGACCGTGAGCCGCTGAATTCGCCGAGCCAAACGGCCCGCAGCTGATGCAATCGCGTAAAATTGGTATTTTACAATAGATGCTATTTCCCCTCTGGTCTCTGTTTAGACGTTCGGTTCGAGAAACTGCGGCCGGGAATTTCAGAAGGTCGGGGCTGCTGCGGACGGCACGGCGCGGACACGTCGTCGGAAGTTAATCGGTTCCAGATGAGAAAGCGTATATTTAACGTGTCGTCGCTAACGTCCGTGCTCTCCGGTGAACTTATTTCGCAGCGGCCCGGTCGGCCTTGGACAACCGATTCGCGGAATCAATGTCACGGTCGACGCGACGCCCGGGTTTCTCGATCGTTCGAGATCTACTCGCAAAATCGTTGCAAAGTAATCGGTAACGCCTTGCACGCTGTTCGTGCTACACAGTTCTCTCTTCTAATAGTACGGTATACAGGGTTGTAGGGGAATATATTAATCAATCATATATAATATGATATATAATAATAATAATATGATATGATATATAATAATAATATGATGTATATCATATATAATATATGTATGTAATAATATATATAATATGATATATATTAATCAATATATTAATCACGGTCGACGCGACTCCCGGGTTTCTTGAACGTTCGAGATCTGCTCGCAAAATCGTTGCAAATTAATCGGTAACGCCTTGCGGACTGTTTATGCTCCACAGTTCTCTCTTCTAATAGTTGTAGAGGAATATATTAACATTGAATACTAGTATTAATAAATATGTAATATCGATTTCCGCTCGGCGCGTGAAAAGCGAAACAAAACGGGCGACGCATAGTTTCCTCCTTACACGCTGAAACTTCCAATAATAAAACACGTGTATCATTTTTGGTACGTATTGCATGAACTATTAAAATACCTACACACGAACATGTATGCTCGATGGTGGGTGGGGGGGAAGCATTCGAAACGAACTATCGAGAGAGAGTACTGTGTTGACAATTTGATCGTCGTTCTTCCCCCGTTGCGTTCAACATTTTGTCACACGCTACACAGTTATATCACAACGCGGCGCGTTGTAAATTCTCTGTTTGATTTCTCCGCAGGCGGAATAAAAAAGATCCTGGCGTGACGCCGGCAATTAACGTGTCAGTCGCTTTCTGCTTTTCTACCTGGCCCGGCGCTTTTGATTTACTCGGCGTACAACTGTGCGAGCAGATCCGTTACAGCGTTAGAAAATGTTCGCGTTTTCTAATTATACTTTTCGATATCGTTAACGGCACGAAGACGTGTCGCGTGTCGTTGACTAAATAATTAGGCGCGAGTCGCGGCGGATGTTGGTCGGGACGGGGCGACGACAGCACCGCTTAATTAACCGGCGTCGATCGACGCCGTCGTTCCCGGTGGCCGATGGATTCGCCGTACGTTCGCATTCGCGCGAATTCGGCACGGAGGCGTGGTTGGTTCCGTTACTTTTGCGTTTCATCGGCGATCGGCGGCTGAGATGCAGGCGGTCGGCCAACAAGCGAACGCGAGTGTCCGGTAAGGTCGTCGGCGTCTTTCTTCCCGCGGTCGTGGAACGAACGTCCTTCGTGGCTGCTCCTGAAAGGATCAGAATTAGAATGAAGTACAGCGACGTGGAAAAATATGGGAACGATTAACCGTTCCGAAATACACTTCGCGGACCAAAGGACGCGTCGCGTGGCGAAACTCGAACGATCTTGAAGGAACGATTCCGATCCACGGTTGCCGAAGAGTTAAGACTGCGACCGGGGTTGTCGGTCGTACCTTGACTTTGACTCGAGCTCGGACACCTTCCCGCCTGAACGACGACGAAGGTGAAACGCGACCACAACGGGCAGGAAAAAAGCTGTTCATACTCGACCGAAGTCTTCGGTCGACGATTGTTACACGGAATCGTAAAATTGTTCGAGCGGAACCGCGACTCCCGTGGATCGGACTTTCTATCACCCTTGCGCGGACAACCGGCTGCACTAATGCGAGTCGCAAAATCGGCATAAAGCAATCGCGTTTGCGGTTCCCGGGGCAACGGACTTCGATTCGTGACCGGATTAGGACACGAAACCACGGGCAAGAACTGCTCGAAGAAATCTTGCGCACCGAAAACATTCGCGGGATACACGAATCGGTCGGAGCCGGACGAACAACTTGGTTCTAATTTATAACTTTGTACGAATTTTTATGGAAACCGGTTCTCTTGGCTTTTCGAGGTTTCACGAATTCAAATGTGTAATTACCAAATATGCAAAATTAAACATGGAAAATCGGACGCCGTAAGCGCTACTTTTAACACAATTTTTTGTATAAACCAATTTTCCATTTGTCTATCTTTGCATAATTAGAAGTCTTGAACCAGTTTTGAGTCCTAATCCGGTCGTAAATCAAAGTTATCGATCCGAGAACCGCAAACATAATTACTTTATGGCCCGATCGGTTTTACGACTTGGAAAATCAGCGGCTACACATTTCCAGCAGGTTTCCTCAACAATTTGTCATGTTCTATCAGAGCTATCGCAGATATCCTCGAAGCAGAAGGGCTCTGAGACGTATACAACCGCAAATATAATTACTTTATGGCCCGATCGGTTTTACGACTTGGAAAATCAGCGGCTACACATTTCCAGCAGGTTTCCTCAACAATTTGTCATGTTCTATCAGAGCTATCGCAGATATCCTCGAAGCAGAAGGGCTCTGAGACGTATACAACCGCAAATATAATTACTTTATGGCCCGATCGGTTTTACGACTTGGAAAATCAGCGGCTACACATTTCCAGCAGGTTTCCTCAACAATTTGTCATGTTCTATCAGAGCTATCGCAGATATCCTCGAAGCAGAAGGGCTCTGAGACGTATACAACCGCAAATATAATTACTTTATGGCCCGATCGGTTTTACGACTTGGAAAATCAGCGGCTACACATTTCCTACAGGTTTCCTCAACAATTTGTCATGTTCTATCAGAGCTATCGCAGATATCCTCGAAGCAGAAGGGCTCTGAGACGTATACAACCTGCTTGCGTACGCAAAAAGAACAAGTTTCGGCCGGTGCTTTCTTTCCTCTCGGTATCCCTTATTCACGGACACCGATAAAATCGATGGAATTGTTTAACCATTCAAATTCCAGGGATTATTCAGAAAACACGGTCGAAAAATGCCGAACATCGTGATAGCGCTTGTCTTAATTGATCGCGAAGAGAACCAAGCGGCGCGACAGCGCTCGTCGCTAAAGTTTTGATCGCGACGCAAGATCCGAGGAGCGCGATCGCGCTGCTTGGAACTCGAACGGTTAATCGTCGCCGATTATGGAATCGAACGAACGACGCATGGAGGAGAGTCCGGACGAGGGTCCCTCGAACGAGAGTGACCACCGATGAAAGCCGGCGAAAGCGATTCGCTTTCAGCGGCGGGTTCGCTGACTGTGTCACGGTGACACACCGTCGCCTCCACCTGAGAGGAGAGCCCCTTCCCTTGAGCCGCTAGCAACGTGTCCTTCCCTTCGGCGGGGTACTCTAAACTTAGCTGACGCTTCGAGGAGAGACTCGAGTCGGGTTCAGTGCTGAACCACCATCCTCGCGAGACCGACTTTCTCCGTCTCTGCGCGGTCGTCCACTGGCGGATCCACGGATCTTCTCTCTTCCAGATCGAAACCGGTGGTCGCCGGAGCCGCCGTGTCCTCTGCTTGCGATCCTCTTCGTCCTCTGCCGATAAGGAGGTGGTGTTTTCGCCTCGCCGACTGGCCGGGAAGGAAAACGAATAAAGCCGTCGGAAAGAGGAAGAAGATATTCGCGAAGAAATTCGGGAAGAGCAGAGGGAGCAAGGAGCTCGCGGAAAGATACCTCGGAGGATGGCCTACAGCTGGAACAATCGGGTCGATTTCATTGTAAGGTTTCTCTACGGTTAGTAGAACTCCGAAGCGCACGGTGTGTGCCACGCATTCGCTGCTTTCCAACGTGACCGTGTGCTTAGCCCGGCCCCTCTTGCACGGATTATCCTGTTAGGCTGATTACGCGGGCATCACGTGAGTAACCCAGAGACCTCCACCTTGCTGGAAACACCCTTTCGAGCAACCTCCTTTGCTGCCTCCAGGTCCGTTGCGACAGTTCCCTTGCCGTTTCTACAACCCAAAGTGTGCTGATAGAGTGACTAAACGAAAATAGGAAAGTCTAAGTACAGTAATTTCTCCCCAATTTTCCCCTCGGCTTGCGAAGAATATTGCACAAGTTGCGGCTCATTTTTGTAGTTAACTTTCACGATAATTATAGAAACGAGGTGCTAATCGATAATAATAATCGAATAATCGTTTCTCCTCTCTTCCCAAATTGTTCAACTTTAGTCCACAAGCTGAAGAAACGTTGAAGAGAATTTGCTGCAGCTCTGAGTACAATTAATCCCTACAGTAATGTCTCCCTAATTGACGCATTTTTGTAGTTGCCTTTCGCAACGATTATAGAAACGAGGTGCTAATCGATAATAATAATCGAATAATCGTATCTCCTCTCTTTCCAAATTATCCAATTTTTAGTCCACAAGCTGAAGAAACGTTGAAGAGAATTTGCTGCAGCTCCGAGTACAATTAATACTACAGTAATGTCTCCCTAACTGACGCTCAGATTGTGCAGAAAAATGGACAATTTGGGAAGAGGAGATACGATTATTCGAGCCTTCCGGCTCGTTTTTATAATTGTTGCTAATTCGTCGCTATGAAAACGAGTCGCAAGGCTCGAATAATCGCATCTCCTCTTCGAGGAGATTATTATATTAATTGAAGAAACGATTATTCGAGCCTTACGGCTCGTTTTTATAATTGTTGTTAATTCGTGACTATAAAAACGAGTCGCAAGGCTCGAATAATCGCATCTCCTCTTTGAAGAGATTATTATATTAATTGAAGAGACGATTATTCGAGCCTTGCGGCTCGTTTTCATAATTGTTGCTAATTCGTCGCTATAAAAACGAGTCGCAAGGCTCGAATAATCGCATCTCCTCTTTGAAGAGATTATTATATTAATTGAAGAGACGATTATTCGAGCCTTGCGGCTCGTTTTCATAATTGTTGCTAATTCGTCGCTATAAAAACGAGTCGCAAGGCTCGAATAATCGCATCTCCTCTTTGAAGAGATTATTATATTAATTGGAGATACGATTATTCGAGTCTTGCGGCTCGTTTTTATAATTGTTGCTAATTCATCGCTATAAAAACGACTCGCAAGGCTCGAATAATCGCATCTCCTCTCTCTCTTTAATGAGATTATTATATTAATTGGAGATTGCTAATTCGTCACTACAAAAACGGGTCGCAAGGCTCGAATAATCGCGCATCTCCTCTTTGATGAGATTATTATATTAATTAGAGAGACATTACTATCATTCTTGTAGACAGCTTCCACGCTAGTTTCGTTCCACGGCCAAGTGCTCGACTATCGGGATCCTCGCTGCAGTGGTCCTCTCCTAGAAACTGAACAACCGGCTGACAGATCGGCGTTGCGAATTTAAGGTCAAAGTACTTGCGGAGAAGCGTATCGATAGTACGAACCTGGCGAGGGGAGATCGGGGATCGGGAAATCAGTCCTCTTGGCTTCAAGATCGCCGCGCTTGTTTAGGATTTAGGTTGACCGTTCGAAGCGAAACCGCGGCGTCGTCGGGACGCCCGCAACCGGCCGCCGCTGCCAAAATTCGGCTTGGGTCCTAATTCGTTTCATGGAACGGTCGCGGCCTTTCTCATCGCTCCCGATTCACCGCGACGGTCGAGCGCGCGGCGACGAGCGAATTTGCTAAAAGTTCGCCAGCCACCGAAACGTTACTCGATACACGAGCATCCGCGGGGGCTGTCGTCCGTTTCGGTGAATGATGCGTGTACCGTCGTGAAAATAACGCGTGGCAGGGCTAACTTTAGAGCCGCGCGACTGTCCAGGAAAAAATAAAACGGCGAAATCTAGCCGCGGACCGTTCGCGCGGATAAAATCACCGAGAGATCGGCGGTCTACGAATCCTCGTAAACCTTTCGGTATCGTGGTCGTTTCGATTTTCCGGCGAACGATAAAACACCGGGACCGACGAGATTCGGAACAGAAATTGCCGGCAGAATTCGGAACGGAAAATGCCACTTGGAAGCGGCTCTGAGGTCCGGGGGAAACGGAAATGGTGCCAATGGGAGAGGCGCACGGATTGTGCCAGTGATCGAGCCGCTGACAAGACAGCGTCGGAATCGATGACTCCCGGCGCGGATTGAAAATACCGTTCGAGCCGGATTGACGCTTAGGGGTCGTGTACTTGGTGACGGGCGAGACCGATTTCTGCCAGAAAGCGAAGCATTTGGAGCTGGTCCAGAGCCTGTCCGAAGTGGACAGCGATCTCTTTGAACATAAATTGGCGCGAATCGATCAATTAATTGGCCCGGTCCCGTTTCGGGAACACCGGGAAACGGTTCCTACGCTTTTCCAAAAGTCACGATAACACGAACGTTTCCCACGGCGCGTTTCAGACACGGACAACAATGGCATGGTGGAGAAGCACGACTTCGAGTGCATGGCGCTCAAGATGACCCTGATCGAGGGCAAAGGGGAGTTCAGTTACAATCGGTACCAGGAGAACCTGCACATCATGCTCTCTTTGTGGGACGAGATCGCGGAACTCGCGGACTTCAACAAGGTGAGTCCGATCCTTTCCGGAAAAGCTGGCGCAGTAAGTTCTCCCTAATTTCCTTTTCAGCTTGTAAAGACAAAAATGGACAATTCGGTAAGAGGAGATATTTTTATAATTGTTAAAATAGTTATAGTCGCCAAATGGGCGACTATAAAAATGAGCCGCTCGCATAATCGTATCTCCTCTTCCCAAATTTGTGTACAAGCCGAAGGCAAATTGGGGAGAATTTACAGTATCACGTGGCAACGAACTGTCCGCTTCATTGAAATCTCGAATTCAGGACGGTATCGTGACCATCGAGGAGTTCAAGGAGGCGGTGCAGAGAAGCTGCGTGGGAAGACAGTACAGGGACTTCCCGCAGGCGATGAAGATGTTCATCGACAGCCACTTCAAGCTGGTGGATCTGAACGGTACGCCGAATATCGAGCATCCAGCTCCGCGCGTATTCTCGAGATTATAATTCATTGCGTTCGCTTATAGACGACGGTGTGATCGCCGCCGACGAGTTCCGCTATAACTGTGTCACCAGGATCCCCGTGGACAACATAAATATCCTGGACGAGGCGTACCAGAATCTGCTCACAGTAAGACCACGCCGTTCGAAGCGACACAATTGGACTAACCGAGTTTGCTATGCAACCTTTCCTCGTTACCGCGTCTATACATAGTATTACATCTGACCTTCTCGATTGAGAAGAGACCACCACGCGCTTTCGATACGGCCTCTGGACAAGCGTACAGCTTCCGGCTGTCGGTCCTTCGCGAGTCGAACGCGAGCGAAAGGTTGATACAAAGAAAGCTTGAACATTCTAGCTACGGTGGATCGCTTTTAAATGATCGCGTGAATTTCGAACGAACGCAGTCCGGGGGATTCCCTTCGAATCGGCGCGGCGAGTCGCGGAACCGTTTCGCGACGAAATTCCGCGGCGCGTGCACGGCAACATTGGCAACCCAGATTCGCATAACAGTCGGAAGGAGCAGCCAGTTGCCCGTGTAGTTCACGGAGCCGTTCACGGGCGAGTAACGAAAGCGCGACAGTGACCGAACTAATTCTGCGCGTTCGACGCTTTAGAAACAATGGTTTGACAGTTTGCCAACTGGTGTGCGAAACACACCGGTCGGTTCGCCTAGCGACTAAAAATGTTTATGGATCGAGGTGCGATTTAACAAGAACGCGCCCACTCATTTAATATAAACCGCATACGCGCGTAGAGGTATAAATGAGACAATGCACGCGCGTTCTGTTTTGCGTCAAACCGAAACCAGTCGACCACCGCCGCCGCCGCCGCCGAGTTTTTCCGTCGTTTCGACGACGAAACACATCGAACGCGATTCGATCCAACATTGTTCTATTCGCAGGACGACGACAGGAGACGCGGCGGGCTGACTTTGTCACGCTACCAGGAATTGTACGCGCAATTCCTCGGCGACCCGGACGAGAATTGCCCGGCGGTACATCTGTTCGGCCCTCTACACGCCATGGGTTGACGAGGATACCGATGTCCACACACGCGATCGTCGACGATCCCCGCGTGCACGTACAAAAGACAACTTCTCTATATACGTATACACCTATTTAATATAATTGTTATTTAATTTCTGTAAGACGACGCAATAAATCGGATATTTTATCGTAGACAGACTCGAGTCGCCCGGTCAGGAAACCGTTCCAGTGAAACGAAACCTCGTTTGGCACCGGGCAACGCGTCTCGGCAACACGTGTTTAGAACGCGGTCGTTTCGCAATCGCCAGACGGATCTTAAATAACGATGCGAGGAAAGGGAGAGAGAGAGAGAGAGAGAGAGAGAGAGAGAGAGAGAGAGAGAGAGAGAGAAAGAGAGCGTTCAAGTATAAGACAGTTGTGTCGTACAAACAGAAAAAAACGTTTATTCGTAAATTTCACGTGTTTAACACGGATTTGCGTTGCTCGGACACCTCTTTGGTAGTATCGCCGTGCTCTGCTCCCTTGTCTCGAGAATTTAATACTGAGAATTTCTACTCTGATATGCAGTCTACAAGTAAACACAGTTTCGCACGTTGCATCGCCGTGACGCGAATCAATCCGAATAAACGCATCCCGTGTGTGTGTGTGTATGTATGTGTGTGTCTCTCTCCGTGTGTGTGTGTGCACAACACATTTATACAATTGTTTGTTTCATACTTTTACTCATTCGCATACATGCGGAAACATACTTGTGTTTTTTTGGGGACCGTTCGAATAACAATGGTGGATCCGCGCTCGTGGCCGCGAGCGTCGGACAGAGGAACAATCTTCGTTCGATCGCGGGCGAATTACTTTTAGTCTAGAAATTACGTTTTCTTTTTTTTTCCACTCCTGCGGCTTGATTTTGTTTTTTTCGTTTGTTTGTTCTATCCGCGGTCAGTATAAAAATCGTTCTTTGTATACAAATGAATTTAACACCACGAGGGAATAAACACGGGTGACGCGAGTTTCGAACTCGTCGTCGTCGCCGCCGCCGTCGATATAACACGCCTAAAAGACAGGACACAATGAGGAATACTGATGTCAGATAATCGATCGTCGCAGACACCGAGCAGAAGCGCCTACGCTTCTTTTACGAGACAATTCACACCGACAAAGCACGCAACGGAACTCTAGAAAAAACAGCTACACGCCTCTAGGTTTATAATCACTTTCAGTAATTCGGCTAACTACCTTCTCCACGTATCCTCCGCCCGTTGAACAACTCGGGCGTACTTTCTTTTAACAAACGTACACAGACACCAAGCAACGACTCGCGTCTCTCTCCTATTTTTTTTTCTTTTTTGTTTTTGCTACAATGTTCTTCCTCTCTATCTACACCTTTGCTTCTTGAACACACTCGCGAACAACTGAACTCTCGTATCCCGGATAATTAGAACGCCATTACGCCTGTGTTGGGTAATAACGGAACGTCGATAGAAAACGTAGCTTATCGAAGTCCGGCATCTCGAAGAACAATGTTTCTTTGAATGTTATCACATCGCGGAGAAAACATAAAGCACGTGGCGGATATATTCTCGTGTTCTTTGCGAGGTCGGTTCCGAGCGTGGCAGATCTCTCGAGCAGTTTCCATATGTGTTTTATTGCTTAATCTCGACTAAGGACGGTTAACGCTCGATCGAAACTGTGGTTGGAGATTTCGGAACTTTGGTCGCAAAGCCGGAGGACGAACGCTGACGACAATGATACACGGCGAAGATTCGGTTCGGTTCGATCGTTTTGGTCGCTCGGACGACGAATGAAAATCATTAAGGCGTTACACGATTCGTGTCGGAGGGACCGTCGTTCTCTACCTACACGACGATAAAAGAAAATGCACGCGCGTCGGATAAAGCACGACAGAAATGCAAATACATTTTTCCTTGTTACTTTCTTTCGCGGGTCACCGAAAGCGATACACCACAGTTCAACGCACTCTTCGCAAAACAAAAATAAAAACAAAAAATACCGGAAAAGCGAATCGCTGAGTTCGCTGATAACTAAAAGAAAGAGTTTATACCCCGAATGAATGGTTACACGAATAGAAAAATCGATAAAGCTTCTGAGCTATAAAAAGTAACGCGGTAATTAAGAGGCTGTTCTTCCACAAACAATAAATACCCTAAATATTTATGTATATGTATATGCATATGTATATGTATATATATATAAATATATATATGTATATAGATGTGTGTATAGTCGCAATCTTACGGTAATCGTAATAATAATAATAATAATAATAATAATAATAATAATAATAATATACAAAATTCCTTCTTCCTAGTTACAAGAAAATACCAGACACGAACTTCGTCAATTCAGCGTCGATTTCAGTAATTACTCTGCGTATCGTTTCTAAACGGCGAATCGTACAACCCGTTCCTGAATTCACGTACAGAAGAAAAATAAATTTCTCGTCGTTGGCGTTTGGAATTACAATGCATCACGTGTATGTGTCTATTTGTGTATATGTGTGAGTGAGTGTATGTGTGCCCGATGAGAATTGATATATTCGTCAGTCTCCCTAAAATAGAAAAGTTCTTATCATTCTGACAGTTAATGTTAAAACGTCACACGATAATCCGCCGCGTCTATGTAGTTCACACTGGCGTAGGAAGTGGTTGGGAACTGATTGTTGTCATCTTGGAGTAGAGGAGAGTGAGGCCCGTGTTCTTCACTTCTAAATTCGTTTCGGGCCCTGCTAGCGCGGTAACGGGCCCTGTTGCGCCCCCGGCGCGACATCACGCCTGCAATAATCAGTAATTATCATCTCAACGTCTGTCGATTAAGGCTTGATTCGACACCCATTGTTTGCTATTGTAACTAAACTGCGGTTTCTTTACTCTATCCAAGTTTTTCAATTTATGCAGACCTTCAGTTTCAAATTCTTGAATTTGAACATTTCTGAATCTTTAAGGTTTTAAAAACTCCGCAGTCTACTTAGGATCGATCTCAAATACATGGTGCAAAATCTGCAGCTACTGGTGCAATTGAAAGGTGAGGCATAATCTACAAGTCGAATAAGTCCAGTATCATAGATTCACAAATTCCTTATCTGATGAAACGTTTATGTTAGCGGTGCGATTAAAGTACCCGAAAGCAAAACGAAAGAAGGCATATGATCTCTGTTCACCAGTGATTAATTCATCGTTCCATATCCCTTCAATGACAGTGCACAACACAGATGACAAGTGACCAAATCTAGCCCTGCATTCACGAAATTATGTTAGTACATGTACAAAATTTGCTAGATTACATTTTGCGAAGGCCAACTAACCACAAGAGCACATTTATACAACTAAGTTGCGACATGTTCAAACAATGCACAAAAACAAAAAAGAAAAGAAAATGATTAGAAGATAGGAAAAGAAGCATATGTTTGTGTAATTGGAGATCCCCATCCCGCACGCATCGACAAATACACACAGATCATCTTGTAGTGCCAAGAGTTTCTAATTGTCTAAAGATGGCGTGAAGAAGAAGCTAGTGTTGCGAGTAAAGAAGCTGGAGAACCGAACGTTCTTAAAATACAGATACCTTTTTTTCTAGACGTATGCAAGCGCGATGGAAAGTAACAGTGATTCCACCGGATGTGCTCAAAGTATTTACAAATAAGTACACGTTCCTCTGTTCGTGTCGCCATTCTATTTTGTGGATCGAATGGCCGACTGTCGGAGCCGAGAAGCGATTTATCGTGGTCAAGCAATATCGTGTGACAGAACATCGAAATGAGGTAAAATACGTTGTCACGAAACACAATTGGAAAAAAAAAGAAAAAAAAGATGTGGTAAAGAGAGTGTAAGAAAAAATTTGGGTAACCTGCGTACCTATCTTTCGTACTCGAGCACTCTGAAGGTGGGTGTGCTTGTAGTGGGTGTGGGAGGAGAATTGAGTTTGCTTACACGATGATTCAAGGAAGTCTCCTGCACGTTGTCCAGATTTCCTTGCATCGCTCTCTTGTGATTTGCTAGCTTCTCTCTGTTCATTGGTGTGCCTGGAACCACCGTGAGCCATAATAGGTTGATCTTACTCGATCAATTTCTTTCTTTCTGAGAGCGAACTACGTTTGTTAAAGGTTATTGTGTTTTATGGGACTGTTTTTCTTTTTGTTTGCAGTGAACTGGCACAGAAGCATGTACAATCACACCGAGTGGTGCACGAACAAACCTTCTCACATATTCGTTGTCCGATACAATATACAGGGATATGAAAACCAAATTCATTTATTACCGCGACACACTGGTGGTCTACGATACTAGAACCATCGAGCGACCACGAAATGTCCTCTTTCCAAACGATCTTGGAACAAGCCCCCGCTCAATGATTCTAGTGTCAATAAATGAATCGAAGTAATTGTTCTGTGTGATATGTGATTGGCATGAAGGTCTACCATTTGCAAAGTGTTCTTTGACAAGCATGTTTATGAATATTTTATCTTACCGATATAGCTGAGTAACACTGGCAAGAATATTAAGCCGTGCGCGGCTCCGAACAGTACGATGCCCAGGTACATTCGGAAATAAAAGACCTGAAAGAGAATTCAATGTAAGTACAAGATAGCGGAGCTGAACGCAGTGTGCAGAGATAGTTGCTATTTATCCTACGATACATATAACAGAAAAGTTCAATGAGATTCTAACACACCTTGAAGATCTGACTTTTGGCGAATCCAAGTACCACGATTCCGCCGAACTTGGTGAGCGTGATGCCGCTGAATATGGAGCTTCCCATGTTGGTCAACGCGTCAGCTACTCGTTCAACTCTCGTAGTCTTCACAGATACCGAGAACGAGTGCACTAGATGACTGCAAAATTCAACAGCGATTCCTACAGCCTGGTGAAATAATAATAATAATTATTATTATTACTTTACAGAACGGCTACTAGAAGATAGAAAAGATATTTAGCTATAGATAAATTTACCATAACGAGATTAACCAAGGACACAGCGTTCAATGTAATGTGCCACCAGTACATTAAGCCGCCGATATTGACGACGATCATCGTGATGGTTATTATAACCACCACAGAGGAGAATATGTCCAGACCCATTAAGAGGAAAGTCACCACGAAAATGGCGAACAGAGATATGCCTATGCTGTGCAGCGTGTCTGGCCACATCGTCAAATATTGTTCGTAGAAAACGTAGAACACGCTGTACGGGAAAACTTCGACACCGCCGGTTTCACCGTAGCTAATTAGGTGGCTGTTGAGCATGTCCGTAATGTTCGCAGACACCGCTCTGGCGGCCCTCATCGATTCATAATAATCGGCCGAAGATTTCAAAATCGTATGGTAAGTCATGAAGTAGGACGCCCCAACTTGCGATAAGCCAGTCTTCAGATTGGTTGTGTAATCCACGCCGTGGCCGTAAGCGGCGTGGCCTGCTTTCGCGCAATTCTCGTCAGGGTTGTCTTGCATGAAGAAGGACACGTATTTCTCGAATTCCATCGGCGTTGGTCGGCCGTCCACTGCGCTGATGTTGCACGTGGTACACCGGTTCGAAAACTCTGAGAACGTTACAAGGCGAAATAAATATAGATGGTGTCCATACAAATTCCCAGAAGATACAATAAATAATTTCTAAGAAAATTCTCATACCCGCATGTGGACAGAAGGAGTTATTCCCGACAAAATATTTACAACAAGAAGGAAATTGAGTCCAGTCTATATAATCGTCCAGCCACGATGCCGCCGGTTTTGCTATGTATGTCCTAAAAATATGAAATAACGCGATCACTTCAACCATTTGTATGGAATTGAATTTATGCATGTAATACTAATGTTTCTTCCATTCACCTATTCGACTGATGCGACGCTATGAATATTTGCGTGGAAACCGAATCACTGTTGCAATACTGACCGCCGCACACAAGATTCTGATGCCTCGGATCGGAATAGTTTAGGCCATCTTTTACGACAAAGTACATCGGTGGTCCAATCGATAAATAGCTATTTAAAAACTGAAAAGAGAATATAAACAATCGATTCTTTTTCACGCCGTCCGATATCAACGATATCTATACATACTTTAAAATATTTTAAAACGAAGCTATCTTCAGGCATAGACAATTCTTGGTCTAGACCAATCTCGATGTGCGGGACGACAGCTATACTCGAACAGAGCCAGCCAAAGAAGACTAGCATGACGACCGCGCGCACCCATTTCTTCAACAATAACGGTACGTAGGCTACTTTGAAAAGCTTGTACAAAATCCCGTTAATTACTTCATCGCCGGTGTCTTTCTTCGAGCCGTGTATGAAGCAGCACACATCCAGTCTATTATTCTATAATTCCAATAAAATCTCGATAAGAGAACGGCGTCAAGTTACACCGACAGATTTCTTAAATATATTACATACTGCTTGACGAATAGTGTCCAAGGCCAATAAACTGACGAAGCAAGTTACTTGCAATAGAAAATCCACCAACAACGCCATGCCAGCGTAAAGAGCGAAAGCTCTGACCGCAGGCATGTCGGATAAACCACCTGTAAAAAGAATTTTCATTTTTCGAGAACTATTCTTCCTTCGATTCTTCTCGATATAAATGCTATACAGTTTCGACGCATACCTAGGAAGAAGCAACAGCTCTCGGACACGCTGGTGAGTAACATGCTCGGTCCCACTTGGCCGAGAGTACGACCAATGTGCTCCGATATCGACTCATTTGGTCGACGACCTTCTCTTTGATGGGTCTGGACTAGAATGAAAATGTTGTCCACGCCGACAGCAAGGACGAGGAATGGTATGACTTCAATAATAATGAGCGTAGCGGGTATGCCGACGAAGCCAAATAAACCCACGGAACAGACGACAGAAGCCAACACGATCAACACGCCGCCGAGGCCGAGTGTAATTTTAGAGTCGATCTAAAATTAAGGATCAAATGTAAACACCGGGTACATGAGCTCTGTGCCGGTTGTGTTTCCGCTTGTCACGATGCTTACCAGAAGTCGACTACAGGTCTTCATTTGACCCAGCGAAATCGCAATGTACGCAAACATGATAACGTATGACACGAGGATAGTTAGAACGTCGGATTGCGATTCACGATTCAGCTCATCCTCGATCGACCGTTCCGACGTGAACGCAACGTCCATGAAATCCGGCTTCTCCGTTGCTGTCCAATTTTTCATGAACTCAACGTAACTGCAATTGCAACAATATTGAAATATGTTTCGCCATATATATGTTCATTATATATTATGTTATGTTTATTATATATTTTCGCCATATATGTTTCGCCTCTTTCTCGATTCGTAACTCAACGGCTCACCTCTTTTCCCATTCCATGGCAGGAACAAGTTTCGATTTGTCGTGATAATTATTTACCAAAAGCGTCAAAATGATAGCTGTCGCCTTCTCGTAAGAGGGATGGTGAAGATCTTCGCCTGGCTTCAAGAAACCCCCGACCGCGATTGCCGGTTCTATAGGGCCACCGTATGGAGCCAAACAGTTGGGATTAAACGGGTTTCTACGGGCAAGCAGACGGTAGAATGGTGTTTCACAAAATTATACTAGAGTTATTTTGCTATCAACGGCCTTCTTACTGTGTGCAAGCTCCGAAATGATCTAAGTAATTCACTGTATAATTGTCCTCGATGGAAGTAGCATTGAAGGTCGCCATGCTGTCTTGATAGTATCCCCATATGCTTTGAATGACGCATTCCGAGACTGTTGGTGGTCCTGTGAACGGACTTGTTAATGGCGCGAAACAAATATCTGCTAAAGTGTAATTGTTTGGAGTAACGATCTGCTTCATCTTTTCTTGCAGTTGATATATCGTTCTCAAGAAATTGTCGTTGAACACTGGGCCAAATGTTATTGGACCGTTCGTCGTCTCATGAACTATCTGCACAAATTTAAACAGACATTATGTAATAAGCGCACTTGTTGTCGGTACAAAGATCCACGGTCTACTTATCATTCCAGAATAAGGGTATAGTTATACTTACACTGGGCAAACCTTTGGAAGTGATAATGATCTGTTCGTTCCTATAGAATGGTTCAAAATGTTGATCAAAGTATTCCCTTTCGATTCGGGAGCGAGATAGAGGCGCAGCCCATAATTCAACGGGATCAGTGGTCACGTGAATGTATTTTATACCGTGCCCCATGCCAACAATAAATAAGAAACCAACGAATAGCACGAACCATGGTCGCGAAGCACACGCTGCAAGTAATTGGAGATCGTTTAGTAACGAAAACGCAATGAAACCGTATTGATTACAAAGAAATCCTGATCCCGTACCTGTGCCCCACCAGCAAAAGAACTCTGCCAATAGTTTATCGGTACCTGCGCCTAATCTTTCGATAAAGGTCGACCGTTGTTCGTCGTCGAATCCGCTCGGCAAATCATCTGCAGATATCACACCTATAAAAGTGTCTGTGTTACGAACAAGGAAGTATATGAACATGACCAGAACGTGCTGCGGTAAATGAGACAAACATTATAGAAAGTGTGCTGTAAACAAATACATTAAGCGTCTACACGGGCACATTGTACACACAAAAAAAGAAGAGTAATTTCAAAGAATTGTCGTAATTAATCAAGATAGTAAAAGAGAAAGAAAGAGACCGATAGAGAGAAGAGTTACAATAAAAAACGAAATCGAAGCAACAAAAACTTTGTCAACGAAACAATTGTTCTCTCTACAGACAGACAACGCCTAGAAACGTACTGATGCGTACATAAGTATATGCGAACATAGTTTACTAATTTTTCATTAAGCTTCACAAGTGTTGGTCACGGTAATCATTGTGCTATGCGTGCTTACATAAGAGAGTACAAAATATTAACGGTGCGAAATAGAAACACTGATTAAGTCATTAATACGGAAATGTTAAAGACTCGAAAATGCTGTTTGCACGTTCTTAGAACAGATATATTAATCATGGTAATGCATTCTTAACACGTTTGGCCGTATATCTATTACGAATATAACAGTCATGTAGTTTTGTTTATCGTTTATAATGCTTACATTATAATTTATTGCACATATAGTTCAAAATTCATTGAATCCTGTAAATATGCAAGATTTCCTGGTGAGTATGTGAAGCATACTGTTCATGCTGCGTAAAGAAGAAATTCGATACGTGAACCGAATAAGCAAAGCTGATACAACTGATCAAGCATGAGGGAATGCGGCTATGGAAAGAAATAGTTTAGGGGCAAGCAGAAGACCATATATTGAAGATACACTTGGTAGGAACCTACTGGAACGCTTAGATTGTAGTGGGCTGTCTTCCTGGTCTGCGGCGAGAGCAATACGAGCACCATCTCCTGGGTGATGTAACCCTGCGGCTAGGCGTCTACCCACCTGCCTTCCTACTTCCTCCCCTCGTGTGACTATACATATATATGCACACCATAGATACAACTGATGACATTAGATCAAAGTCTTCTTTTTGTATTCAAACGCGGTTATTCAGACAGAAACTGTACACGGTTAATACCCTCCCTGACACACTATGACCATTAAGGATGGGAACGCTTTTTATACTTATTCTTAAATTCGAGTCAAATTCAATATCCAAGTTTCATTTGACAAACGGTGCGGAAACGGAAATTGGAAACTTGTGACTGAAGTACGTTCTCAGAAAAGTTTCGATATAATTGATCAGAGTTTCATTACACATCGTCCCATCTCCAACGACCACTAATACAACACAGTCGTATGGAACTCGCAGTAATTACGGGTAATTGGATCGGTTAATTTCTCAAAAACGTTCGTCGAACCACGGCGGTGCAGGATTTATGAAGTTAATTCTTCAACCACAACCAAACGATAGAATAAAAGGATAACACAACAATCATAAAAAACCATCCTGTAACCATGGCGGTAAATCAATGGGCACAAACTCAATAACTCTGTATTATTAAAACTGTGTCCGATCGAAAATTAGTCACCGATGCAAAATAAAAGAAAAAAAAATTATGCAAATCCTTGGTTGAATCAAATATGAAAAAAAGTTTGAAAGAAAAAGGTGTTGCACACGTGTACGGTATAGTGAAATTTAGTAGTTTCCTTGTACCGGAAAATATGGAAAAATTCATAAGTAGATTTCGAAGTGGCACTTGTAGATTTAAAGTGTCTTACCAATTTGTTTTCTATTACTGAAGCACACTATGGAGAGCATGAAGAGGACCGAACCACAAATATAGACAATTATCATTGTCACCGCGTAGCCATCATACCCGTACATAGTAAAAGGATTTGGCAGAGGAGGCATCGGTGGTGGCACCGGACAACTTTCCTCACAATCCAAGCAACTGCAGGCTGGTTCATTTTTCTAAATTAAAAAAGTAAAATCAGATTTCTTCCTGCAAGTTTTCTTCACGAATTACACAATTCTATTTTATCAGGACTACTATTGTCTGGTCTATTACATGGTATACTTGGATTTCGCCTGAGACAAAGCAAACTCCCAGTTAAACAGTATAATTACGATAAGTTCGCGCCAACAATTAACGCGTGCGTACCAAAAGAAAAAGGCGTTCGACTGACCAATTTAAATAGATTTGTGACTAATTAGCATTCGCATCCCTGTTAAATACTTACGTTCAATGCCTTGTTGCATGGGGTAACTTTAGGATCTACAGGTGTAAAAGGACCAATCGGAGTGTCGGTGTTTTTATACGTTATTTGGAAGGGAACGTAATAGTTATGAGCTGCATCGCCCATGTAGAAGAACCATTTTAATGGTGTACATCTACTAGCACCCCATTCTCCACACATTATATCCAGAGCTAAGTTTCCAGAACTGGGTACTGACACTTTGCTGCAGGAGTTAAACGTGCCCTCTAGATATTTATTTGTTATGTAAACATCTATCATATTAATATATTCAATATCTAAGGACAAAGGAAAATTTCTTTGTTAGTTCTGAAATTAGAAGAAACGTGTGAACGTGTAAAAAAATGTATATAATCACCATCTTTCTTTAGAATCTCTGTAACATTAATGAATGTACTCTGAATCGGACTACAAGTGAATTCACAAAAATGCTTTACTAAATTGTCTAAGCAGCTGGGACATCTGCTTATAAAATTGGCTGCTAATTTAACATTAGAGTCCATAGTTTGTAGTTGTGTTGTATTACAACAGGTATTGATTCCATTTCCAGAATCTTGGACCAAATGTGGACAATTCTTAGCAAGTAATTTTTGTCCTTCAAAGTCCAATGGTTTGGCTGGTCCGGTATATGGACAATTCTTTTTATGTCCATCGTTGTAACACTCTCCATACCAGATACAATGACCCTCACTGGCTGCCGATACCTGTTATTAAAAATAAAGAAATCTTACTTCAACTAGTTTTCAGTAAAACATTAAATAGATCATTTTGGACTGAAACTAAACTATGAGTATTTTTGTATTAATTTTACGATCTCTATACATTATGAACACTGCTCAACAGTATGAGACAATACCGATAAAGAATACACCATTCGTTATTGTTGAGTCATCTAGTATGAGCAGAGGAGACTGATATTAAATGAACTCATTGCTATAAATTAAATTAATCATCTTTGTCTCCTTCAAGGGTAGAAGGCATAACGGGCTCCATCATATCTATCACATTGACCTTTGAACGCATGCTATCCTGCTTAAAATTCAAAGAATTTAAAACTGAAAAATACTCTGTTCTCGAACGTGACCGAAAATAAGCTTTGACTCATTTTTTGAAAGATTATTTTTCTAAAAATATGATCGGCATGTTTGTTCTGAACTTTATTGAAGTATTTTCGCATTTATTCCATGAACTATCAACGTTTCTGTGACTCAGAATGAATTCTAAAATTATAGCGACAAATCGACCGGCGTAAGCGAAAACGGATAGTCACCAACGCATACTCAGGAATTAACGCGATGAGCGCAGAGATACGAAAGGAAATTCCAAGGATTCTTTTTCGCGGCGGCGATCGACATTATTAAGAAACGCTTATGGTAATCTCTATTGACCTCGCTGCGAACAAATAGAGCTTATACCTCTACCAACTCGTCGTGCGACTTTTAAGAGACGCGTACCTATAATAAACCCATGCATACTTGTGTTTTCTGTCAAACTTACTGAAGCATCTTATCAATGAACCACGTCCGTAGCGGTTTATGCTTTCCGTTTCACACACCAGAGTTCTTATTAATCGAAATAAATATTTGAAATTTGCCGGGCATACGTTAGAGTTCCCTGACCGACAGCACAAACGTAAATATCGTATCCCTTTACGATTCCAAAGTTACAAACCATTTTTCGTTTCGTAAAATACGTACAAATTGCAATGTTTGACATTTAGAATTTTTCATATCATAGAACGTTTTCTTTTTTTTCTTTTTTAAACACGACGAGAAAATCGGGTTACGAAATAAGCCAAGTAGAAGACGCATCGGTTGGTATAAGGCGAAGCTGTAATTAAATTGAATAAGAGTTCTTCGGTCCGCGAAGCGGCGACAGTGCGACGCGTGAACGGTGATAGGCTTTCACGAGAATCGGCCGAGGTGACGTCACGAATGCAAGACGTTTTACGATGCCCAGAGGGTGTGGTGTGCGCATCTGTGTGTATTCGGGGATTGTCGCGATCGAATACGACAAACGGTATCGCGAAATTGGCAACGAAAAATCTCCGCAACGACACAAATGAAAGGATTACTTACAGCCGTTATCAGCCAACAGACACTCAGCGCTAACAGCATTGTGTTCACACGCGACATTCTGGCTTCTGTCAAAGTCCGACTGTGACCTCGAGGCGACACATCTAACCAACGCATAGCGCGTTACAAACGACGCTGACCAGTGACCAAGCGGGGCAGGTTGGCGTTCGACGTTCCCTTTCTTTTATTCCGGGTCGGATCCAATGTTACGACGGACGATTCTTGATATTACTCATTGCATACGCACGTGTGAGCAATGTATTCTTCCGTACTTTCCTTCGCGACCATCAATCAACAAGACGTAAAAGCGACGAACGGTGCGTGGTTCACCTTGCGCCCAACACTCCGTACTGCGAGCGACGCGCACATCTATCTCTTCATCGCGAAGCGTCGAATATGATTTAGTGTTGCTCGGCTGTCCTCGGCTGCTATCGGCTCTCCTCGGATTTTCTCGGCTTCCCTCGCCTACCCACTCGTACTCGTGGACTACGCAAGCGATTTTCACCGGGAACCTGAAACTCAAGGGGTCTCGACACATTGCGATTTATCGTACGAGCCATTACGTTAAATCTTAACAGCTTAGCAAGATACGATAAAGCCGTGCATTTGTTTTACACGTGTACATAACGATCGTAAAAGTAAACCTCACAATTGAACGGATCACAATGAGCTTTCTTTCGCCGCGTTTGTACAATTGTTCTGATTCAACTCGATATTAAGTAAGATATAATACGATTAAGCACGACGTTTCTAATTAACGATAATTTTTTTCGTTCAGTTTTATGAGCATGACGTTCCGAACTAGCACTGGGTACATATTATTACGGGTTCGAATAGTCTTTCCGACGAATCTTCGATTCTGTCGATGATTAAATTTTAGTTATTTAATCGCTAATTATTATAATTTACTTTTTCAATGTTTTAACGAACGATTTAAACGAAACTTTCTCGTATAAACACTCGACTATACTTGTACTTTTTCCTATTGGTCAATTAATCAGTCCCTAATCGGCTATACCAATCTAATAATATTACCATTCGCTCTTAACGTGTCTAAGGAAGTTGCATAATTCATCGTAAAATATATCGCTCCGTGTTGGCCCCTTTGTTCTCAGATTCCAGAAGATCTGAAATTTCGACCTCGATTATCACTTGGATGATCTGGAACAGAGCAACGAAACGCAAATGGGCACGATTTAAAATTCAGATACGAAAGGAGAATACTAGTACTATCTATAGTACTATCAGTGTGCTACGCCACTATTGTTCAACTCGAAGTTAACCTCTTCGAGTAAACTGAACACCTGCAGAAAGTCATCGTCGTTTATATATATCTTTTTTCTCAATTCTATAACAAGATTAACTTAAGGATTACAATCGTTCCCGACCATTCTCAAAAATTCTGACTTGGAGAGATTTGTGATTACAATCGATATTCCCGTTTAGACGAGATATACGTACCAACAACACGATTGCGAGAAAATTAAACGATAATGTAGGATTTGAATCGTTCGATTTAACGACGCGTGTTTGTCACACAACGTTGCACGAACGTGTAACTTGTATGATGCAAATGACGTATTTTGAATAGTTGCTCCTTGGCTTATCTCGGGCGGGCTGAGTCATTTCGTTAACGTGTGGATACAAGTATCAGGTGGACCGAAATATGATTTATCTCTAAAGGCGACTACGTAATGCGAACAAATATTACCGCGCGATAACCATGACTATTGTTTCCTGTTCATGTCTCGGCTGGTCGAGATTGTCGAAGACAGCTCGCAGGTGCGTTCGATAAAACAGTCGAATCGATATCGACGCGTAGGACTAACGTTAACGGCCGTCTCTAATTGCAATAATTGTCGCTCTTACGTAACACACGGCGCTATATTACCATCCGCCCGGATTTCATGATCGAAGATGACATCAATCACTTTAAATTTTCTTTTATTCCGAATAGAACGATTTACGATACGGCACGGAGGGCCGATGCATTTCAAAATTCAAACACATTCGAATGTATTCCAGCCTTGGGGACAAAAAGATTTTCCAATCTCGCGAATGGATCTATGCGTTGCGACAACAGACGACAGTAGTTTGAGAACCTTATGCATAATGTTTCGAAATAAAATGATTATTTCCATTTTATCCTCGAACTGCGGATCGGTCGGCGGCAACCCGGGAAGTCATTCATTTATTCGTCTATTGTTGTTATTTCATTTATCATTTGATCATTGCAGATTGTAGACTTCGAGCGACCTTGATAACGGTCAATGAGCTCACACGAAGATAACCAATCTTAATTGTCGACACGTTATTAGACCGAGCGTTTGTTGCATGCATTGTCCGTTCAACTTAACCTGTTGATCGCGGTACGTTTTCATCACGAATGCTCCTGTATATTAAATTTAAAATATTATATAGAATATAATATAATATTATATAGAATATAATATAATATTATATTCTATATAGAATAAATAAAGTTATATATATAAAGTTATATAATATATAATATATAATATAACTATATATATAAAGTTATAATTATATAGAATATATTATATGGAATATATTAAATAAAAATTTGTTTTCAGCTAAATAATAAAACGTAGAAGAGCGCAGTAAATACACAGAACACGATGAAGCTTCAGGCGATCGTGTTTTACGCGAGCATAACCAATCGGGCAAACAACAAATTTCTTGTTTCCATAAATTTCTGTCCGCTGTGACGTAATTGCTGCTGCCCTAGGCATTGAAATCGTTCAGAGCCTCGGAATGATCGCCGCAAGAATCAAGTAATAAGGAAACCAATATTATTGTAGCAGTGCACACTGTTGGAGTCTGCATGGAAATCGAGAAACGGGGAAATTAATCGAGATTGATGAGCAGCCTGATTTGATCCGTGTAAACCCGTAAACTAGGTCACGGTCACAAACCACCAGATTATACAGGGTGTTCGTTTTAGCAATCACGAAGACGTCACAACGTTTTCGCGAGATAAGAAAGTGATGCGGCAGGAAGAAAGATAAAATAAACGTGACTCAACGCGAACTATTCATGAGTTCAATGTTTATGCGTTTCTCATGAATAGCTGCATAAAAAAAACCCAGGATATAACAGAATACACCTACGGTATATATGAAAAATGAAAACAGGTTAGTTTTCAACCCGTGTTTCGTGTTGCTTCGCTGGTATACCGAGATTACTCTAGGGAGATTACTCAAAGGGGTAGATCGAATAATAAAAAATATTTGGCGAATATAGGAAATCTGTATAGAAAATCGAGACGGGCGTGCGGCGTTGATTCACGCGACGGAAAACAACGGCAATTTGGCGCGGTTCAAATAAACGTTAATTTGGTCAATAAGCAGGTGGTGCGTTCCGTTCGTCCGTGTCTGGTTTCACGTAACACATCGTAGGATCCGTGAAAGGTACCACTTAACCTCTTCCTGTTTTGTTTTCATGTTTTCGCGCGATCCAAGGAAAAGAATGATCCGCCTGATCAGCATTAATCATTTCATTATCCGCGATTATCCGAGCGTATAGAACGTGATTCGGAATGAATGCGTTTTAATTACTCGTCGCAAGGATCACGCTTCTTAATTGCCAGTTCTCTTTCGATCGGTAATTACCAAGAGCAAGATATTTCTGTTTGTTTTGCAGAACGGAGGCCGAGAAAGCCATTGTCGCGTATATATATATATACATATATACCAGATTAATTATTAACTAATCTTTTTCGGAACGATGAATCGTTCGAAGCTGATCGAACTGACATCTGGCAGTGGCCCGTGCAACTGTCACGAAGGTAAACATAGTGCCGGAGATCTCCGATAAATCGAGTGTCGAAGGGAAACCGTGAAGAGCCAATAGCGGGAAGGTTTGCTCGTATAAATTTTCGTCGGTCACCTTGAACATCGAGCAAACATTTTCTGCGGAGAACTAATCGCATCGATGAAACTGTATTCCTTGCCTTTACGCTGCCTACAGCGAGGTCTCGTAAGTACTTTCTTCTCTGGTGAAAGACGTCACCGTCACCACACAGCTGCTGGGTTTCGTTCCCTGCGCCCGCCAGGTGGCGACACTTTACCGGAAATCCGTTAATAGATGTACTTTCAAACGATGCCGATTAACCAAAAATTCGGAGCAAAATTTTCAGAACGAAATCGAACGAGCGACAAACGAAAGCGGTTTTCTCTTTCGTCACGGTTATGTTCAATCGATCATTATTTATTCGGGAAATTCGCGGCCGCTCGAAATTCTTTTGCAGCTGTAATCGCGGTATCACGACTAAACAACTTTTCTTTGCGGCGAAGCCGGTAGAATTGCAACGGGGCCTGGACGCGGACACGCTGAAGTACCTGAAACCGGAAGCGGTCCTTAGCGAACAAAATCGGAGATCGTTCATCGAGAAGTTCCGCGCTCGTAGGATCACGAAGGAGTCCGAAGAGAAAGTAAAAAACCGGGCCGCTGTTCTGGTGCCATTATGCAAACACGAGGGCGAGCTGGGATTCCTATACACTCTGAGGTCCACGAAGTTGACCTCGAATCGGGGCCAGGTCTCGTTCCCAGGCGGCATGTACGACGATAGCGACGGCAATCTCGAAGAGACTGCTTTACGGGAGACTTGGGAGGAGCTCAATATACCGAGGGAGAAGATCGACGTCTGGACTTCCGGTAACACGATCAACAAGAAGAACCTTCACGTGATGCCCGTGTTCGGGTATATCGGCGAGGTCGATCCGAAAAAGCTTAATATCAACGCGAACGAAGTGGAGGAGGCTTTCTTTCTTAGCTTAAGAAACCTATGCGACCTGTCCCTGTGTCGGTACACCCAGTTCCGTGAGAAATACTGTATGCCGGTTTATTTGGGCGGGAAACACCGTGTCTGGGGTTTCACCGCGATAGTCACTCACATGGTTTTGAACGACCTTGTACCTGATGCTTACAAACACAAGCTCGTGTTCATACAGCCGGTTCTGCCGAAAATAAAAAACAAGATCAAAGACAACGTTGTTCGTCCAACGTGAAACTCTGTACCGAGCAAATTGTACTTTATATCCTCGACTGCCATGCCACCACCCATGACTATTGTAATTGATTGTATAAAGACTTAATGAAATTGTTGTTATCGTTCTGTTTCTTTCAAACATTTATGTGTTCCGCTACCTTGGTAAACTTGTTTCAAGAGTACGAAAAAGCAAGAAACGAAGAATAATACCTCGTATCCGCTGAAATATCGAATCACCGCACGAATCACCGCTCTTCCGTGAATTACCGTTGAAACTTCAAACTACCTCGCACGATATTTGCGGAAAAGAACTGCGGCAGGAAACACTTTCACAACTGTTCACAATAACTGCGTTCTATTGTACCACAGACGAGGCGTAGGAGTAGTAGACTTGCCACCTAATATATTTTTCTGTCGCACGAAAGCAGGATTCTAAAGCGCCGTTACCATCACGGCGTTGAACGCATCGTTACCGGCAGTTCTCAGCGAGAATCAAGCATTTCCGTGGGATGGCGTCACTTTCAGAAATGGCGCTATTTTTAATTTCTCGGTGCTTGTATCTTGTGACAATAGCGTCAAGAATCATTTGATTCCTATGTTTCTGATAACAAATAAACCTTTTTTGTATGACACAGGAGAATCTTCCGAATATTTCTGTATTTTCGGATTATCTTCTTGGTTGACCAATTTCATGCCATTTTTCATATTCATTTCACGGCTAACTCGGCAATTTAATTTATGGCAATAATATTATTTATTAAATAATATTATTTATATATAGCAATTTAAATAACTCATAAAATTATAATAGAAACTTTTGCTATCATATTGTTCATAATAATCCCGTGTATCGCTCCTACATCTCGAATTACCATAATTATGTCTATCATTCCCCCAAAAAACGGTCCGCTCGCAATCATCGCTTGTTCTTACAGGAATGCGAGATTATGTTAAATAACCGTACAAATAATAACATTTGGTGTAACGAACGGCATCGGATCGTTGTTTTCCTCGTCGTGTACCTGAAAGGAAAACACGTGATTATCGCCACCCGCATTAATGCGCTATGTAAATCGAATTTCTGCGTCTGCGCTCGCGATCTGCAATATGTTCCTTTTCAGTTAAACCCCGAGTATCGTCTAAGTCGATCATCCGTCGACAGACGTTGAGGACCAGCTTCGATTTTCTCATTAGCATCGCCAGCTATCAGTTGACACTTGTGCAACGTGGGATTATGACGTTCCTCTTCCTGCTGGGCCTCCGCTGGACCGATCGTAGCCGAACAATTAAAAAATCGATGTCGAATTCGCGTGTCTTCTGACTTCCTAAATTAAGTTCAACTGGTCTATCGAGTTTTCGATCGGTCGAGAGATCCGTTGCGCGGCCGTGGGATCCCATAAGATGCGGCGGTCGTTCCGTTTCGTCCTTTCGTAAGTAATTATTAAATAGCCGCATCAAACGGCAAGCCACTCGATTTATTCTTCGAGCTAGAAATTTGCCGAAAAATTATTATTATTCTTTATCTATTATTCTCTCTCTTTATATATAGAATAATAATAATAATAGATATAGAGATAAATAGAATATATATATATATATATATTTATTATTATTATTATTATTCTTTTTCATCGCGTGAAATGGCTTCCGCGAAGATAAGGCCGGTGTTTGCGCGAAATTCAGAATCAGTCGGGTAAATAATGGTTCGTGGCAGCCCCACCGCGAACACACAGGAAAAGCGGTTGCGTTCGTTTTGTCCTCGAAACGATGCCAATTTTTACACCTTTTTGCGGCAGCGTTTTTTTTTCGGCCGGACAGAATAATGAGAAAAATTTTTCTGGAACAGCGACGCTCGGATGAGCAACATGAACGCGGTTGCTGTTTGCCCGGACGGTAAAACTGTGTCGCGCAAGGAACTGCAAATGCTTCCGTGTTTGCGGAGGAATTAAGTCCCCGAAAGATTAGATAGCACCTCGGTAATAGTTTGATGGTGCATTCGGTGATAGGCCATCGAGAATAGAAATGACAAATATCAGAGCATTAGCTTCCGTAACGTGCGCAAACGGCGCGGATGGCAGGTTCTTACTAAACGGGCTCCCCCGAACAGGACGATCTTTTGGCTAGCGAACTTCAGCGTCCTGTCGGCGAACGATGAACGCTGCGATTTGCCATCGAACGCGACCACCACCGAGAAGTGCGAGTTCAAGGAACACGATGGCCGGCTCGTTTGCTTTCACGGTCTCGACGACAGATGGAAATCCGGGTGATTATTGCGTGTCCGCGTATCAACAGGTTAGCCGTAATAATACGTATATGTCTATTGTACACTTAAACGTTGATCTCTAGGAGCGAGGACGTCAAGACTTTGATCCTCTGCCATTGGTCCCTGGAGACGTTCGACCCAGCGTCCACGCTGCATGGATTCCCCTCCTTAAAAAAATTCATAATCGCGAACGGCAGCTTGAGCACTCTGTCCTCCGCGTTCCCGTCGACGATTCGACTGTTAGAGGTACGTTGGTCCTGAGAATCGCTTTGCCGACGTTCTCAGTCTTCTTTGATTCGCAGACCATCAAAGTGACTGGGACCAAGCTACGGAAGCTGCCGGTTGACGTTTTCAGCAATCTGGAGAATCTGAAGCAGCTCGATCTGAGAAACAACAGCATCCAAGACGCCAACGTCGCGGGACTCGAGCTTCCCTCGTTGCGCCATGTTTATCTGTCAGGTAATACTAGATGCTTGTCGCCGGACTGTGTGAAAATATTATTAAAATAATAATAATAATAATAATAATAGTAATAGTAATAATAGTAGTAGTAATAATAGTAGTAGTAGTAATAGTAGTAGTAGTAATAGTAGTAGTAGTAATAGTAGTAGTAGTAGTAGTAGTA